CAGTCCCCTTCGTTCCCGGCTGCCGCCGCCGTCCGGGAGCTCCCCGGGGCACCTGTGCCCGGTTGTGCCCGCAGTAGCCCTCGGGCAGTTACACAGTTGTTTTGTGTTAAAGGCTGTGAAGCATTCCAAATCCACAGGGATTTTTTTTTCCTAGTAGCCCTTGTTTACAGGATCCATCTCTCCGTTATTTAATACTTGTTTTTCCTGCGCTTCTACAGAAAAATGGAAATCGCCACTCCTCCCACATCCAAGTGTATCATATACTGGAAAAGAAAAGTCAAGTCGGAATACATGCGCCTGCGGCAGCTGAAGAGGGTTCAGGCGAACATGGGGGCTAAGGTAAAGAAGGGGTGTCCGCAGGGCTTTGCCGTGCCGGGCAGCGTTTGAGCAGCCGTGTGCTGCACCCCGGGAATCTATCAGCCGGATACGTTGGAAGCGAGACTCCTCCTCGCGCTCCGTGATTAGCCTGGAGCCGTGCGGTCGGCAGCAGTTGTACCCGGGAACCGCAGCAGTCCGTGCGCTCTTTAACGCACCCCCCGCGTGACCCCCTCGGCGCCGGTGGGTTGCCGAGGCCGTGCTCTGCTCCTCGGCAGGCAGGGTATCGGATGAGGTCGGCTGAGATCCGGAGTTACCAAAGCTGCCGGGCATCGGGGGGATTTTCAGCCCAGTTTTGTACCAATGCTGGGTTTAATTAGAATTCCTCCTAACGAGCGCCGTCGATGGGAAATGCTCTGCCTTGCCTGCGTTTTGATCCCTGATGCAGAATCTCAGGAGGGGTTTTGGCGTTCTCGGCGCGAGTTCTTCGGTCTGGAGCGCTGCTTTCTCTTGCTTCAGGCGCTGTTTGTGGCCAACTTTGCGAAGGTTCACGAGAAGACTCAGATGCTGAATGAGGACTGGAAGAAGCTTCGGGTGCAGCCGGTGCAGCTGATGAAGCCGGTCAGCGGGCACCCCTTCCTAAAACAGGTTTGGAGAGGAGAAGGGGTGGGCTGGAGCCGTGAGGATGCAGGGTTGTGTGGGTGCTGACCCAGGGTCAGGCTGTGCCTCGCACTCCTCTGGGATGCAGAAATGGGCAAAAACCATCCCCCGCCCAGGGGGTTTCCTGTAAAGGAGCCCAAAGTGAGCGCTGGGCTTGACTGTTGGTCCTGAAGTGCAGCTTCCCTCGGGCTGTGGCCGCCTCCCGTGGCGGTTTCCTGACGGCCCTTCTCCTTACATTCCAGTGTACCGTTGAGAGCATTTTCCCGGGGTTTCCAAGCCAGACGCTGTACATGAGGACCCTGAACACGGTGGCGCTGGTGCCCATTATGTACTCCTGGTCCCCCCTTCAGCAGAATTTCATGGTACGTGGGGAGGCTCTGGGGTGGTCTGTGGCTTTCCCGGCTCTGCCTGGTGTGAGCTGGGGATGTGCTCCTGCGAGGCGCTCCGGAGGCTCCCGTGGCAGGCTGGGGGAGCAGTGTGGCACCAGCCACAGTGGTCAGTGGTGCCGTGGTCTGGTGTCCTTGCTCCTGAGGTTACCACGGGAATGCTCCTCCGCTTTTTGTGTCCTCCAGGGAGTGAGCTACCGCTGTGCCTTTCACTGCGCTGGCTCCACTCTGCCTTGAACGCGCTCACTGATGGTTTTTGGCTGTTTATTATTCTTGGCAACGTG